GTGGCTTTATTAGAGTGATACATAAAAAACAAAGAAAACAAAAGGAGGATAATAAAAGCTAATTAAATGGCTACTGTGGGATTCCAGGCATTGTGCTGATTTTTGTCATACTCTTTTTTCTTTTTTTTTTTTCATGAGGATGGGAGGTTCTTTAGCTGCTGTCACCCCAGGCCGAGTTGCCAGTGGCATGACTCGGCTCACTTGCAAGTCCGCCTCCCGGTTCACGCCATCTTCTCGGCCTCAGCCTCCCCAGAGTAGGCTGGACTACCAGGTGCCCACGACCGATGCCTGGCTAATGTTTTTGTATTTTTAGTTGACACCGGGCTTCACCCGGTTAGCCGGATGGTCTTGATCTCCTGACCGTCGTGGATCCACACCTCCCATCGCCTCCCAAAGCGCTGGATTACTAGGAGTGAGCCAACCCACCTGGCCGATTTTTGTACATCTTATTAATACCCTACAACTGCTTCTTTGAGTAGCTGTCGCGTTGACTCTACCAGATGGGAAAACAGAGAGGTTTGAAGGATACTTGTCCATGGGGCAGGCAGCGCACAGAGCTAGTGAAATTGGGGAGACTGATATTCAAACCTGGTTCCATCATTCGCTGGGGAAAGATAAAACTACTCCTCTGCTGGATAAGTGGCAACTGATGCTTCCCAGTGTGATCTTGAATTTAACTGACCAACCCAAGAAGTTCTTCGTGTTGAGAGCCCTTCTCACTGAAGCTCAACAGGGAGCTCTCAAGATACAATATTTCATTCCCAGGCGTGCTCTTTAGGTCCGGCTGAGTTCACGGAGCCTGAGCTTGGGAAGCCCCTCCCCACAACCTTGCTCTAGGTCTCAAGAAACCAAGTTCTGATCCATTGAGGATTCTGGAAGGCAAGAATGAGGCAGAACCCAGTACAAAGCCAGGAGGAGAGGCCCTGAGAGCCAAGGCAGAGCAGGGGTATATGTGTAAAGGGAGGTGGATACAAGCTTGGCTCAAAGATTAGATGAGGGGTTGGAATCCCCACTCTGCCACCGTTTATCCATGGCCAAGTGACTTTACCTCTCTGAGCCTCAGTTTCTGTCAAGGAAGATAACAGTTCTTTCTAAATAGATCATACAAAGTGTTCAGCACAATGTCTAGTGTGCAGTAGCAATGAATAAAAGGGTCTCCCTCCTTCCTTTCCTCTTCCAGATGCCTCAGACACCACACCCTGCTGCTTTGCCTACATTGCCCGCCCACTGCCCCGTGCCCACATCAAGGAGTATTTCTACACCAGTGGCAAGTGCTCCAACCCAGCAGTCGTGTGAGTCTCAGCCCCATGGAGCCCTCCCAGAGCCTGTTCCCTCAGGAGTCTGCTGAGAGGATGCCCTACCCACTCCCACCCATCCTCCAGCTACGAGCAGCCACAGCTCCTCCATTTCTAGCCTCAGAGTCCTCTGCTATCATGAAAAAAGACTAGACAAGCTGTCCTTAGAGAATCCTGCCCACTCTGACTGGCCGATTTTTGTACATCTTATTTAATACCTACAACTCTTCTTTGAGTAGCTGTCCTTGACTTACAGATGGGAAAACAGAGAGGTTAAGTAACTTGTCCATGGGCAGGCACAGAGCTAGGAAATGGGGAGACTGATATTCAAACCTGGTTCCATCTCGCTGGGAAGATAAAAACTACTCCTCTGCTGGGAAGTGGCAACTGATGCTTCCCAGTGTGATCTTGAATTAACTGACCAACAAGAAGTTCTCTGTTGAGAGCCCTTCTCACTGAAGCTCAACAGGAGCTCTCAAGATACAATATCATCTCCAGGCTGCTCTTAGGATCCTGGCTGAGTTACGGAGCCTGAGCTTTGGAAGCCTCCCCACAACCTGC